ATTATATGTATATATGTGTTTATTTATTTATTTTCCAAGACAGGGTCTTGTGTAGCCCTGGATGGCCTGGAACTCACTAGTAGAACAGGCTGGCCTCTAACTTGTAGTGATCTTCCTGCCCCTGCTTCCTGAGTGCTGGCATTAAAGCTGTGTGCCACCACATCTATTTCAGTATCATATTGAAATATTCCTTTCTCTTATCCTCAATTTCACCTCCTTAATCTGACTGAGCTATTAAAATCAGGAACCAAGTCATTTACCTCTTTCAGTCAGGTTCCCAGCACCTTGCACAGGTCTCACTAGCAATCATTCTACAGATAGAGAGCACACAGACATATATAAGCACACTTGCTACATCTTTATAAATGCTACTAAGCAGTCAGGTATGGTGGCACATGCTTTTAATCCCAGCACTCAGGTAGCAAAGGAGGGTGGATCTCTGTAAGATCAAGGCCACCCTGGTCTTCATAGTGTGGTTCAGGCCAGCTGGGCTTACAGGGAGACCCTGTCAGGAAGGAAGGAGGGAGGGAGGGAGGGAGGGAAGAGCGAGAGAAAGCACAAAATAATGAATGAAAAAAAGAAAAAATGAAAGGAAGGAAGGAAGGAAGGGGAGGGAGAGAGAGAGAAAAGAAAGAAAAAGAAAGAAAGAAAGAAAGAAAGAAAGAAAGAAAGAAAGAAAGAAAGAAAGAAAGAAAGAAAAAAGAAACGCTCATAACCTAATATTCAGAATTAGAGACTTAGCATAAACCATCATGATACCAATATGGGTCCACCTCCAAGTAGAATGAAGAAAAAGGTCTGGAATGTTTCATGTACTGTGTGTGTGTGTGTGTGTGTGTGTGTGTGTGTGTGTGTGTGTATGCCTATAGATTTGTTTGAAGAATAGTTTATTGAGTACACTGTGAAGGAGCAGTGGGTTGGGGAGTAACTTGAGTACTGTGTGTGTGTGTGTGTGTGTGTGTGTGTGTGTGTGTGTGAAAATTTAAGCTCAAGAATAATTTTATTAAAATTTGAGAGAAAAACAACAGGACAGGGCAGCTGTAAATCTAGGCCTAGAAGAAAGAGATGGAGAAGAGAAAGAGAAAAAGCCATGCCTTTTGCAATAGAGGTTGGCAAGTAGCCCATGGAAGACAGTACTACATGATGGAAACTCTGGAAGCAACTGCTGTGTGTGGTATGGTGTGTGTGTGTGTGTGTGTGTGTATGTGTGTGTGTGTGTGTGTGTGTGTGTGTGTATTTGTTTCGGTTTCGGGGGGGGTGTCTCAGATAACTCTAAACTCCTGATCATCCTGCCTCTACCTCCCAAATGCTGGGATTACAGGCATGCATGACCAACACCCTGCCTATTGCTTGTGTACTTTTAAAAAACATTGATATGGGATTCAATTCCCAGCACCCATATGGCAGCTACAAACTGTCCTTAACTCCAGTTCCAGGGAAAGCCCTCTTCTGACCTCCTCGGCATTGCAGGACAGGGGTACACTCACATACATGCAAGTAATACACTCATATATGTAAAATAAAAATAATAGTAATAATTATATATATATATGTAAAACGTTGATATGGGGCTGAGCACTCCTTTAATCCCAGCACTAGGGAGGCAGAGGCAGATGGATCTCTGTGAGTTCAAGGCCACCCTGGTCTACAAAGCCAGTTTCAGGCCAACTGTGGCCACTGGAAGACCCTGTCTCAAAAAACAAAACAAATGAAAAAATTTAAAAAAAAATACTGGCATGGGCTGGAGAGAAGTCTCCGTGGTTAAGAGCACTGGTTGCTCTTGTAGAAGACACAGGTTCAGTTCCCAGCACCCACATGGCAACTAACAATTGTCAGTAACTCCAATTCCAGAGGATCTGACATTCTCTTCTGACCTCTGAGGGCATTACATGACACAAGTGCACTTACAAAACATACAATAAAAATAAATAAGAAAAATGTTTAAATACTGGCATATATATGATGGCAAATATAAATATGTCTCGTCCATTATAGTAGCCAGTAACTTCATGTGGCTATTTGGGCCCTTAAAATGTAGGAAGTGAAAATTGAGATGTAAGCTGGGTATGGTACAGGCCTTTAATCCCAGTACTCAGGAGGCAGAGGCAGGTGGATCTATGAGCTCAAGGCCAGCCTGATCTACATAGGGAGTTCCAGGCCAGCCAGGACACCATAGTGAAACACTGTCTCAAAAAATTGAGGTGTACTATGAGTATAAAATGCACAAGCATACACAATACATAGTGGATTTTGAAGACTCATTGTCAAAAAAGTAAAATATTGCCTGCATGTGTATAAGTGCATCCATGTTATGTAATGCCCACAGAGGTCAGAAGAGGGTGCCAGATCCCCTGGAACTGAAATTACTGACAGTTGTTAGATGCCATGTGAGTGCTGGGAACCAAACCTGTGTCCTCTGCAAGATGAGCCAGTGCTCTTAACTGCTGAGTCATCTCTCTAGCTCCCATGTTCTTTTTTTTTTTTTTAAGTTGTATATTTTTGTTGTGCTAGGAATTGATGCCAGAAGCCAGGGCCTTGCACATGCTAGGTAAATGGTCTATCATTGAGCTACACCTCCAGCTCCTTTTTACTTTTGTTGTTGTTTGTAGTGGTTTTGGCTTTTTTACACAGGGGTATACTTAATCAGGCAGGCATCAAACCCTCGGTGCTCCTCACACCACAGCCCCTCCTCAGTGCTGAGATTGCAGAAGTTTACTACGGTACCCACCAGCTTCCCTTTTCCTTTTGACTACTAAGAAATTTTAAATTCTGTTCCTGGCTCTCATTTGTGTCTACCATTATATTTCCTTTGGCTAATTATACATTATCTTTCTGGAAAATATGCAACAAATTTACAGTGGCTCCTTCTGGGAGTCATTCTGAAGATCTAGGGATGGGGCCTACATTTTTGCTGCCTTTTGTACCACTTTATGTTCCCCTTTGTCTGAATTTTTGGCAACACATAAATTTAACATGCTACAAGCTATAGAAAAAAATATCTGCAAGGAGGGAAAAAGCCCTTGAAAGGTGATGCTGTGTGGGAGCAGGCTTGGAGAAGCTGGAAGGATTTTGGAAACAGCAAGATAACGTTTCCTGTTTTTCTGTTCAGGCCCTAGGGTCACACCAGGCACTCTTAGTTGAGATGAGCCTAGAGCTTGATGTACTCAGTCTGACAGTGTTTGCTTTCATTTGAAGATGGAGCGTTCTGCGGCCCACAAGTGTGGTCTGGATGAGACCTCTTACTATGCTAGTTGTAAATATTTTAGCTTGCCTGGAGTGGTGGCTCACACCTGTAATCCTAGCACTCAGTAGGCAAAAGCAAGATAATCACCATGAGTTTGAGGCCAGCTTGTTTTACATACTGAGTTCCAGCCTACAGTGAGGCCCTCATCTCAAAAAAAAAAAAAAAAAAAAAAAAATTTAGGGATTAGTTTTTTGTTTTAATTTTGAACATACATACATTATAATCTAATTGGCAAAAGAGGATTCAGGAAGATTTGGAGTTGATATGTGAGGTGCTCTGGGAAGAACCTCTGAACTCCTCCTGTACCCTCTAATGAGACAGAGAGCCCCTCCAGCTGTGAGATTTTAAAGAATTCAAGGGGTTGTCCCCCTCACCAGTAGTATGTTGTGGGGTGGGGGTTGTGGAGAACCTGAGGTGTTGGTTTTGAAAATGCCACTCTCAGAGCAGTTTTATTTCAAGGCTTTGGAGTGGGAGGCCTCACAGAAGGAACTCTGTCTCCTGGCATTAAGGACAGCCACTGTGGGTAGGGGCTGGAGGTCTGGAGTTTGACCTCTGACCCGAACAAGAAGTGGGTCCCTGACTACCTAGCAGTATAGTTCCTGGTACAACACAGGAGCTGGGCAAAATGTTGAGAGACGGAAAGAGCATGGTTCCTACCTTGGTCACTCCTCTCTGGTGTGGCTTCCTACATCAGCTCCTAGCCGCCCCTACCCCTTTTGCCATCCTTACCTACTTCATCTCCAGTAGATGGCTTAGACAGTCAAGGCAGGTGTGCAAAGCTGTTCTCAGCTCCTGCCTTCCTAAACAGTGACAACCAGTTCCAAAGGCACTTCTCAGGAGAGAACAGATTTGAAAAATCTCCGAATGCCCACCAGGTTGTTCCCCAGCTCATCCCAGGAAGACAGGCTTGGCTGGCAGGTGACTGGATAATTAAAAGATGCTCATTGTAAGCCTATAGCAAATTCAGTCTCTCTTACAATCAGAGAAACGCTAATTAAACAATATGGTGCCATGGACATCAAATTAATCAATTGGTGTGAGATACCTCCATTAACTAGGTTCTTTAGTGACTAATACCCCAACTGCCTGCAGCAGAAATCCATGCCTAAGTCGAACCGTTAGGGTCTTCCCCCGAGTTGCAAAAGAAAATTGGGCCCCGAAGGATCACGTCTAAGCTGGGAGCCCAGGAAGCTCGGAAGCTCGGTCAGTTCCGCCCTGGTCTGAGCACAGAGTTGTTCTGCAAATTGTTCTTCGAAGCTGCTCAGCTCTGCAGCTGGCGGGGAGCCTTCCCGGATCAGATGCTTCGGAAAAGGGGCATATCCGGCCTCGACCAAACCCGTCACCCTAAACGAGTTAAAGGAATTTCTCCACGCCTCAATGCCAACGTCTGGAATGCAGACTTCCCAGCACACTTGGCAAACTTCCTGGACCCAGGTAGGGCGTCCCCGATCCCTTACTGGAGACCGTGCAAGCTAAACGTCGAGGGTCCTCATGAGGCCACCCTAGGGGCCGCTGCTTTCTCTGGAGCTATGTCTCTCCAAGCTGGGTCCCAGGAGGCAGACTCCTGCGGGGGCAGGACCCTCGTGCCCGAGGGCAGGGAGAGCATGTGTGGGGCGTGGGGCTCACCCCAATTCCTCATCTTTACCCGAAGCCTGGAAGTCCCGCGGGCCCGGAGCTTCTAGCCTCCGCGCGGCAAGCGGCGAGAGCCCCGCCCTCGGCCCCGCCCTCCCTGAACCCGCGCCCCCATTGGTGGCGTCCGGCGGCGCTGCCGCTGTTATTTTTCGAATATATAAGGAGGTGGAGGTGGCAGCTGCAGCTAGAGGTTTCCCGAGCAGCTGCCTAGCCCCGCGTCCCTCCCCCTTCTTTCCTCCCCGCATCCCTCTCCCTCACTCCCAGGCCCGCGGCTCTTCCTCCCTCCCTCCTTCCCTTCACCCCGGGCCCTCCCTCCCTGAACCCAGCAAGCTGGGCCCGGCGTCTGTCTCTCCCAGCAGCCAGCCTTTGCCCGACCTGCCGCGGAGATGCCGCAGCCGAAGTCTGCGCGGGACTCAGCTCTCGGTCCTGCGGGCGTGCTCGGTGCTCAGCGCCCCCGCCACCTCCCAGGCCTCCGTTCCGAGTCTGATAGCTTCCTGGGGTCCCCAGAACTCGCGGCCTCCTCTCCGGTCACCACCCTTACCGAGACCATGCACAACCTCGCTGGGCTTGGCAGGTAGGATGCCCCAAGGACTCTGGATGTGGTGGAATAGGAGGCCCGAACTAGGGCCCTGGGGTACTAGGCGGGGAAGCCTGCCTAATCCTTGAGGTGGAGTAGAGACACCCTTACCCCACCTTCAGGGACCTCTGAGGAGGGTGCTGAGACTAGCTGTATGACCCACACCCTCCAAGTGACCTGCTAAAAATTCTTTCCTTCCTGCTACCTCTTTGTGCCTACCCACTACCTCCCTAATCTGAGCTCCCAAGGTACCATTTTGCCCCAGGCATTGAATCTGAAGCGTGAAGGTTCACTTGAGGTTGGCACAGCAGTATGTCTCACATGCTCAGTCCCTGCTTTTTGTATCCCCCCCCCATCTGCCCCCAGTGTTAAACTGATTAAAGACTAGTCCACCTCCCTGTGCAAGCCTGTGGGAAGTCCCACCTGGGTGGGCCAGCTGAAGTAGAGACCCAGGTCTTAGCTTTTGCCTCCAGGAAGGTTCATGAATGGGTAGGGGTGTGAGGAACAGGGGAAGGCTCTCCAGAGGTCCCTACTGCCCCCTACCCTCATTCTTGCCCCTGGTTCATCTCTTCCTGCACCTCAGAGAAGACACTCTAGGGCCTCAGTGGAATGAAGAGCTTTGAACTGAAATAGATGGTAGCCCCATGATGTGATCACTTCCTGGAGTGGTACTGAGGGTCTCCTGGCTCATTGATTGGTTGGCCCTTCACAGATGGGCAGTAAGTACATAGGAACATGGACCAACCAGCTTCTGAGTCCTACATTAATTTACTTTTCTCCTTGCCTGTCTTTTCCCCCTTCCCAGTGAGACCCCAAAGAGTCAGGTAGGGAGCCTGTCATTCCGGAACCAGCTGGCTTGCCTATCCCTGTCAAGACGCTCCTCTGAATCCTCCTTGTCCTCTGAATCCTCAGAATCTTCTGATGCAGGTGAGGGCCAGAGTGCCTGGAGAGCTCCCCCAGTGTCAGAGTTTGGGGAACTGCGTGGGCCTCCTGACTTCTTTGCCCATCAGATTAACATCCTTCCCACAACTTGGTTGCCCTTCTCCACCCTGCCCTCAAAGCTGAGAAGAAAACACCTCTGATGAGTCTTACCACACCCAACCCAGACTGGGGGAGCCAGGGGAGGGTGTGGCCCTCAATAAGAAGGGCTATCATACCTATTCAAAACCTAGTGACAAAGTTGCTAAACCACAGCTCCACCCAAAAGGCATAGTTCTGAAAGGTGGTTCTTGTGTAAGACTCTGTCTGTAACTTTTATCCTTATAAAACCATTATCCTTCCAAATTATTTTAAACTAGCTTAAGAAAAATTCTTAGAAAGGATTGTGCTCTTATTTATTTTTATTTTGTGTATGAATATATTGCCTGCATGTGTGTAAATGCACCCATGTTGTGCAGTGCCCTTGGAGGTCAGAAGAGGGTGTCAGAGCTGGAGTTACAGACCATTGTCAGCCACCATGTGTGTGCTGGGAATCGAACCCAGGTCCTCTGCAAGAGCAGCCAGTGCTCTTTACCACTGAGTCATCTCTCCAGCCCCAGGATTGTGCTTTTAAAAAGTGTATAGAGGAGAGCTTCTGTTAGAACCTCTGTACCTCCAATTTCAGGGGATCCAACGCCCTCTTCTGAACTCTGTGGGTATTGCGTGACACAGGTGCACTTCCATTCATGCAGGCAATACACTCATACACATAAAATAAAAATAATAAATGAGCCGGGCGTGGTAGCGCACGCCTTTAATCCCAGCACTCGGGAGGCAGAGGCAGGTGGATCTCTGTGAGTTCAAGGCCAGCCTGGTCCACATAGTGAGTTCCAGGACAGCTGGAGCTACAAGGAGACCCTGTCTCAAAAAGACCAAAATAATAATAATAATAATAATAATAATAATAATAATAATAATAATAAATAAAATATTTTTAAAACATCAAAAAACAAAAGATTTTTGGTCTTTTTGACACAGGGTCTCCCTGTAGCCCCACCAGCCCGGAACTCACTATGTAGACCAGTCTGGCCTCAAACTCAGAGATCTGCCTGATTCTGCCTCCCAAGTACTGAGATTAAAGGCATGCACCACCACGCCCCACTTAAATATTTTTAAAAAACTGGAAATTAGCTGGTCTTGTTTTCTCCATTCTGTATGATCTCCTGGAGAGCCATCCACAGCTCATAGCCTCTTTTTAAAAAGTTTACACTTATTTAGCCAGGCATGGTGGCACATGTCTTTAATCCCAGCACTTGGAAGACAGAGGCAGTCAGATCTCTGTAAGATCCAGGCCAGCCTGGTCTCCACAGTGAGAGCCAGGCCAGCTAGGGTTACAGGGAGACCCTGTCTCAAAAACAAAACAAATTTTTTTAAAAGACCTAGAGAATTTTCCATAGTAAACAGAGTGGAGTTCTGTGCTTTTGGAAGGACAATGTCCCGTGCTTAGGGTCCATGGGTAAGTTTGTTTCATTTTCTAGTGTGTTCAGATATCAAATAGAAACAGGCTTCTTTTTTTCCTTTTGGAAGAAAAATAAGCAGGAAAGTTTGCTACCTTCAAACCCAGGTGTCTGTCCCTGCAGGTCTCTGCATGGATTCCCCCAGTCCTATGGACCCACAGATGGCAGAGCACACGTAAGTAGAGAAGGGAGAATTCCTACCACTGAGGAGTTGGCATCTGCCCATGGGAATTCTGCTTCCTTACAAGGGGGGCCAGGAAAAGTAGACACATCCCTAAAGATTCCATCACAAGGTGCTGGTTGACCTTCCCAAGCCTTGAGTCTGCTCCCTGTTTCAGAGAAATGTCTGTTGTCATAGAAGCCAGATGAGAATAGGCTCAGAAGCAGGGGTCATAGAGACAGTAGCCTGTGGGAACAGAGGACACTTGATTCCAGCTGGCTTTGTTATTCAGGAATATGCACTCCTATATCCCTTTTTTCTTTTTGCCTGTGCACATTTTTTTGTGCGTGTGAAATGATTATATAACTTAAAAATATGGTCCTGTGGAGTATAGTAGCCAACACAAAACACAGTACCCACAGGCTGGCTTGACTCTTGGCTCATCAGCAACCTCTTGCTTTACTGACACTTGACCAACCCTTGACGAGGCCCTTTGCATAGGGAATGGAGAGAAAATTGGTAGACTCTGCTCTAAGCAGACACCTCCTCCTTGTCCATGGGCACAGATTGTACTTGCTAGAGAACACCTGTTTCCATCCAGCTGCTGGAGCAGCTGCCAGTCATTAGTAGGGACAGCTGGGCATTGCCAGCCTTAGGCTGGTGAACTGTAGCTTTGGGTTTAGGGCAGTGGCTCTATTTCTTCCTGTTGCCTTTGATCAGACTGTGCTGGGCTAAGGGTTTGTTCACAAACAGGAAACAGAATTGGGTGGGGATGGGAGGGCTGTGGCTTGGTTTTTAGTGGCAACATAGATCCCTTACCCCTAGAGCCCAGCTGCAGATTGGAAACAAAGCTAATTAAGTTGGTGGTGCCTGATGCCAGGTTGACTTTGCACAACTCCCTCTGAGAGAAGAGGCACCCCTTGATACTTTGGCATTGAGTGACCCTCTACTTCCGCACCTGCTTTTGACCGTTTACAGTTTCTCAGAACAAAGCTGGTGCATGTGTGCGCGTGTGTATAGATGCACAAAAACTCTGCGTGGCAGGTGGTCTCCAGCAACATAGCTGGGAGGCAGAGCCTATATTCAGAAGCTTATGCCTCAGCCTCAAAAGGAACATCTGTTGGAATTCCTTGCCGACTAGCCTCTTCTAAGGAAGAAGGGGGGGTCAGAATGAAGGTTGGGTCTTCTTGGAAAATTCTGTAGGATGGAGGAAAGGATGTGACCCTGCACACTTGTCACTAGGGGGTCTGCCAGGCTGATCCAGGGGACCACTAAAGCAGTCCCCTGTCCTGGAGGGAGCCAGGTCAGTTCCTCCCAGGGGGAAGGGAAGCCCAGCATTACTGGCTTCACTTCTAGAGTCACCCACATTGCAGAGTGCCTGCTGCCCGTCAATATGGAATGGATGGATGCCTCTCCTGGTGGCCATATGGCCCCACAAAGGTGATTTACATACAGGTGGAAGGCTTGTGCTAGCTGGTGCAGGCTGGCGAGACGACCGTTGCCTTGGTGATGTCTAAATGACCCAGTGACCTACCCCAGCTGTCTCTATCACTGTCATTCTCTGCACCCACTTCCATTCAGGGCAGCCTTGAAAACCCCAGGCTTCCTCCCATATCCCTCCTCCCTGGTACCTAGTCTCACCAATAGGGGACTTCCTCCCCTCCCCTTTCCCTAGCCTGACCCCAAGCCCTTGTCCTTGCTCTCTCATCCCTGGCTCCTTGGTCTTGTGATCTGGGGCCTGGTATTATAAATAGATGTTGGGCTACAGGGGAACATGAGTGACTTCTTCTCTCTTCTAGGTTTGAACAGGCCATTCAGGCAGCTAGCCGGGTCATTCGAAAGTGAGTGTTTCCAGCCTTCTGTACTCACCTCTTGCTGTCTCCCGAAATGTAGAGGACATGGGTGCAGCGATAGCATGCCTGCTTTTAGTCCCTGTCCTCAACTCTACCAGCCCTGACTGTCCCTCGTTCTTTTGCAGTGAGCCATTTACCATAAGACGCTTCCAGTCCTTGCCGGTGAGTGTCTTCAGAGGCCTGACAGGGAGCTTAGGCATTCTGGCTGGGCAAGGACATCCTGGGGGCACCTCTCAGAGATGTTCTTGAAGCAGCCAGGTGTCCTAGGTTGGCTGGGGAAGATGGGATTTCATATTCTGGGGGAGTTGGAACTGGGTAAGAGAAAGTAGGGCTTGGGTGGTAACAAACAGGAATGCAGCACTCAGTATTTGCTGCCTTTCCTCACTCCCTAGGTGAGGCTGCTGGGCCACAGCCCTGTGCTACGGAACATCACCAACTCCCAAGCACTGAACAGCTGGAAGAAAAATGAAGCAGGAAACAGAGCTGCAAGCAGCCCTGAGACAGACAAAGAGAATGTGTGTTTCCAGAGGCCAAGATGGAAGATCCTGAGAGAAAAGGGTGTACAGGGTAGTCCTCTAGTCCTGAAGATGCCTCTTTTCCCATCTTGCCTGCAGGATGGATTTGTCTTCAAGATGCCATGGAAGTCTACCCATCCCAGCCCTGCCCAAGTTCTGACCAAGTGGGCCAGCCGCAGAGAGGCCTTTACCCAGCGGCCAAGCTCAGCCCCTGACTTGATGGTACATGAGGAGAACTGACCCCTGCAGGGCCCACAAGAGACAGCTAGGGGAAGGAAAGGGTGGTCCAGAGATCCCTCGGGTACTGGAGACTTAGCTGTAGAAGGGGTACAAGTCCCCACATCTGAGTATGCTGTGTCTGTTGTCATTTGAACAGTGCCTTACCCCTGAGCGAAAGATGGAAGTAGAGGCACTAAGCCCTGTGGCTCAGTCCTGCTTCTCCCTGACCCCTGCTGAGGGAGCTGCTGAGGAGGATGATGGATTTGTAGACATCCTGGAGAATGATTTAAAGGTAAACAGCCTTGGCCTACTAGTTCCTTACTTCCTCTTCCCTGGGATAGGCCCAAAGAGGAAAGCTCTGTCGTGGTACATACCTTTAATTCCAACACTCAGGAGGCAGAGGCAGATGGATCTCTGTGAGGTCTACATAGCAAGTCCCAGGCCAGCTGGGGCTACAAGGACATCCTGTCTCAAACAAAAAAGGAAAAGCACTGCCTTCTACAAGACTATGACCTTATTCCAGTGTCAGAAACTTTGAATAAACCTGATCTCTGGCAGTAGAGGCTCAACAGGGTGAGGGACTCAGTTCAGGACAAGCCTCAGCAGCAGGTGGATCCCTTGAAGCTCTTTAGGCCTGGGCAGCTGCCATAGATGAAGGAGCCAGCAAGGCTGGGAGGACTATGGGCCCCATACTGCTGAGAGAGTAGGCAAGGGAAGGGAAGGCCCTGCTGGACAGTTTGGGGCTGATAGGGTTTACTCTGTGCTTATGGTTATGACTATCCTTGCTGATTTGACCTCAGGATGATGATGTAGTCCCCCCAGGCATGGAGAGCCTCATTAGTGCCCCACTGGTCAAGACTCGGGATAAGGACGAAGAACAGGTAGGCCTCAGGGGTATCCCCCTCAGAGCTTGAGGGACCTGGGGTTTAAGAACTATGCACTTTAACCACTGACCTGCTTCCCCTCCCAGGATCTCATCATGTTCAGCAAGTGTCAGCGGCTCTTTCGCTCTCCATCCATGCCCTGCAGTGTGATCCGGCCCATACTCAAGAGGCTAGACCGACCCCAGGACAGGGACATACCTGTTCAGAGCAAGCGCAGGAGGAGTGTGACCCCCCCGGAGGAGCAGCAGCAGCCTGAAGAACCTGTTAGTGCCTTCCTCCTGTTAGGGACTGGGCTGTCACTGTGCACCGGGGATGTGTTTGGGCTGGAGATGGTCTAGGCTTCACTGTTTTGGCCAAATGTGTAAGCAGGTGGTGGTGTGCAGGAGGTCCTAGGTATGACAGAGAAAGAGGTTCCAGCCAAATAGCACTGAGAGGCAAGCTCACCCCTGACCCTGGCCTCCATCTGCCTCACCTTCCAGAAGGCCCGTGTTCTCCGCTCAAAGTCCCTGTGTCATGACGAGATTGAGAGCATCCTAGACAGTGACCACCGGGGATTAATTGGAGATTACTCTAAGGTACGGGCACTCAGGAGGCTTGACATCTGCCTAGGAGCAACTTTGCTCCTTCTCTGTCCCCTTAGGCTCCTTTTAATTTGTATCCTTTCATTCTTGTTTTCATGCAAGCCACCTCCTTCTGGCTTCCCTTATGTAAATCTTCCCAAGCATTTCCCACTATATTTTAGCCTTGATTTGTTTTGTTTTTGTTTGATTGAAACAGGGCCTCTGCTTCCCAAATACTTGGATTAAAGGTGTACATGCCACACTCAGCCTTGAAAACCATTTCCAAAATAATGTCTGGTGTGAAGTCTCCTCCTGCACCCTGTTCCCCCTAAGCTTACAAAGCCTGAGGAGCAGGAGGCAGAAAGTTCTTACTTTCCCCCTTCTTTTCTTACCCTTGGACAGTTGTTCTCTGGGTATCATCCCCTGGAGGGTCTGCTCAGAGCTGAGTTTGAAGGTCAGCAGGTGTTACAGCCTCTGGATTTGTAAACAAAACTCTGTCCTTTCTAGGCTTGTCTTACCACCTTCCCTTTCCCCTGACTGACTCTCCCTCTGATCCTTTTCTTCAGGCTTTCCTCCTACAGACTGTGGATGGCAAACACCAAGATCTCAAGTATATCTCACCAGAAACTGTAAGCAGGGTTTGGCTATTGACTTCCCCTGGGGATGGGCTCCATGTATAGACTAGCAGAATGGCGAGAGCAAATGCTTGGCTGCCAACCTCACCTGCTGGCACCAACCCCAATGGCCTCCTGCAGATGGTGGCCCTGTTGACAGGCAAGTTCAACAACATCGTGGAGAAGTTTATACTTGTGGACTGCAGATACCCCTATGAGTATGAAGGCGGGCACATCAAGGTGAGGTGGGGTGCTGGTAAGGCCAGACCCTCCTATTCAGATCCTCTGCCAAGAGGATGAGTAACCTTCCATGGCATACTTTCTCATGGAGAGGGTTCTGCCCAGCAAGAGGTGGAGGTATCTGTCTGGGAACTGAAAGGGAAGGGGCCAGCCTCCAGCTGCAGGCTTGACCCCCAGCTCCTCTGACAGACTGCTGTGAACTTGCCCCTGGAACGGGATGCCGAGACCTTCCTGCTGCAGAGTCCCATCATGCCCTGTAATCTGGACAAGAGAATCATCCTCATTTTCCACTGTGAATTCTCATCTGAGCGTGGGCCCCGCATGTGAGTCCCAGCTCTGTCCCCCTGCCTAGCTAGTGCCTACCCTGGCCTTCTTAACTCAGACTTGGGACGCTAGGACCTGGGCACTCTTGCTGCATCTGATGAGTTGAAGCTGACCTCACTCCCTCACTATGCACAGCAATCCTCTTCCCATTCCCCTCTCCATCCATCTCATCAGACTACCTACCCACTGCTGCCACCCCACAAAAATTGGTGTCGACTCTACCATTGTCCTTCAAATCCAAGGACCCTGTCTTCAGCCCTATTCTCAATCATACATTTCTGATGTTTGGTGCTTTTTATGTCTAACTGGAATCCTCTTTCCTTGCTGTCTGTAACCTGGGCCCTCAGCCTGTGATGTCTCTCCTTTATCTTTCTGTTCATGTTCTCTATCGCCGCCCCCATCTGTCCCACCTCCTGTCCCAGGACTGCCACCAGCTCCACTTGATAGCTATTAACCTCACAGTGGGCTGGAACCTGTGCTCCCCATTCTTTGTACACCCCTGCTGCACTCCCCTCTCTTCTGGGATTCCAGTCCAGTGATTCCTGCCTCTGCTGGACACTCGGACCAGTCACTGAGCTTCAGTTTTTGCTCCTCCTTCCTTCCCTTTCCTGCTTGACTCAGTGGGTAAAAGCACTTGCCATATAACCTTGGCACCCTGAGTTCAATTCCCCGAACCCATATAAAGGTGGAAGGAAAGAACCAACACCACAAAGTTGTCCCTTGACTTTTTGTTTTGTTTTTGTTGTTGTTGTTTTGGTTATTATTTTATGTGTATGAGTGTATTGCCTGCATGTATGTGAGTGCACCTGTGTCGTGCAGTGCTGCAGAGGTCAGAAGAGAGCCTCAGATTCCCCTGGAACTGGAGTTAAGGATGGTTTGTAGCAGCCATGTAGGTGCTGGGAATCAAACCCAGGTCCTCTGCAAGAAAAGTCAGTACTCTTAACTGCTGAGCCACCTCTCCGGCCCTCTCTTTACTTTTTAAAGATTTCTTTTTAGTTTTAATTTTTTTTAATTTTTATTTATTTTTATTTTATATATATGCCTGCATGTATGTTCATCCATTGGTGTGCAGTGCCCTAGGAGGCTGGAAGAGGGCATCAGATCTCCTGGAACTGGAGTTATAGACAGTTGTTAGCCACTCTCTGGGAGCTGGGAACTGAACCCAGGTCTTTTGCAAGAACAGCCAGTGCTCTTTTATTTTTATTTATTTTATGTGTACACGTGTATTGCTTGCATGTAAGTAAGTGCACCCATGTCATGCAATGCCTTTGGAGGACAGAAGAGGCTGTTGGATCCCCTGTAACTGGAGTTACAGGCAGTTAGCTGCCATGTGGGTGCTGGGATTTGAACCTGGGTCTTCTGCAAGAACAGCCAGTGTTCTTAACTGCTGAGCCATCTCTCTAGCCCTGCAGCCAGTGCTCTTCACCACTGAACCATCTCTCCAGCCCCTTAGGTTTTTGTGGGGGTTTTTTGGTCTTTTTGAGATAGGGTCTCCCTATAGCCCCAGCTGACCTGGAACTCACTATGTTGACCAGATTGGCCTTGAACTCACAGAGGTCAACCTGCCTCTGCCTCCTGAGTACTGGGATCAAAGGCATGTGGCATCCAGCCCCTTAGTTTTAAATTTTTAAAATCCTGTATGTGTAGCCAGGTGTGGTGGCATATGCCTTTAATCCCAGCACTTGGGAGGCAGAGGCAGGCAGATCTCTGTGAGTTCAAGGCCACCCTAGTCTACATAGGGAGTTCCAGGCCAGCTTGGACTACAGGAAGACCCTGTCTCAAAAAGATTTAAAAAAAAATCGTGTATGTGTATGTTGGGTGAGCATGTCAAGGTGCATGTGCCACAGCCCTTGTGTATAGAAGTCAAGAGACAACTTTGTGAAGTTGCTTCTCTCCTTCCACCTTTGTATGGATTCAGGGAATTGAACTCAGGTTGCCAGGGTTGCATGTCGAGTGCTTTTACCCTCAGAGACATCTCACTGACCTTTTTTTTTTAAGTATTTTATTTATTATTTTTATTTTAGTGTATGAGTATATTGCCTGCATGTGTGTAAGTGCACCCGTGTTGTGCAGTGCCCTTGGAGGTCAGAAGAAAATGTTGGATTCCCCTGAAACTGGAGTTACGGATGGTTGTTAGCTGCCATGTGGGTGCTGGGAATAGAACCTGGGTCCTCTGTAACAGTAGCCAGTGTCCTTAACCACTGAGCCATCTCTCCAGCCCCTCACTGACCCTTTTTTATTTAGTATGTATATGTACATGTATAAAAGTGCCTTTGTGTGTGTGGTATATGTGTATATGGTATATGCACGTGTATATATAACTGCATGTACAAGTGTACATATGCATAGAGGCTAGAGGAGGAGTTGGTGTCCTGCTGGATCCTGTCTGGTGGATCACTCTCCACCGTAATCCCAGGAGACAGGGTTTCAAACTGAACCTGGAGCTAGGCTGGCAGCCACTAAGCCCTGCTGATCCTCCTGTCTCCACTTTCTACACTGCTTAGGTCATAGGCTTTTATTACCTGTATTCTTGCGATTTGAAATAGGATCCTCATGCTTACTCAACGTGTGCTTACCCACTGAGCCATCCCACCATCCCCTACTTTTTATGTTTGAGACAGTCTCAGTAAACTGTATAGGCTGGTCTTAAGCTCCCTCTGTAGCTAAAGCAGGTCTTGAACTTGGAATCCTCCTGTCTCAGCATCCCAAGTAGCTAGGATTACATGCTTTCACCACCAGGCCTGGCTCTGAATGAATCTTATATTAACTGGTCATCTCTCTTGCTTCCCCTTTTCTGGTACAGGTCACAGATTTCTCTAACCAAGGTTATGCAACTGCCTTCCAGAAATGGTGGCTACCCCCCCCCCATTTACCTCCTTTTTCCATTATCCCACCACTTTTACTTCATAGCCAGACTTATCTAATGGCTGACATTCCTGTGTTCAGAAGCTTGTGCCTCCAAAAGGCTCTCAAAGGAGTGTGTAAAGGGCACAGTTCTCCCGAAGCAACCTCCCAACATGTAGCCTACTCTGATACCCCATTACCATGCTGCTCCAGGTGCCGGTTCATCAGGGAACGAGACCGAGCGGCTAACGACTATCCCAGCCTATACTACCCTGAGATGTATATCCTCAAAGGCGGCTACAAGGAGTTCTTCCCACAGTACCCGGTACCATGGCAGGGGGTGGCCACAGGTTTCATGACATGAACTGTAGGGTCAGGGTTCAGCCAGGCTATAGGCCAAACAGAAAAGAAGGAAGTGCATCTCACCACACGTTTAGCCTTTCTCTCACATTGATAAACTTCTCATCTTCTCATCCTTCTTTAGAACTTCTGTGAGCCCCAGGACTACCGACCCATGAACCATGAAGCCTTCAGGGATGAGTTGAGGACCTTCCGCCTCAAGACTCGCAGCTGGGCTGGGGAGCGGAGCCGGCGCGAGCTCTGTAGCCGACTACAGGACCAGTGAGAAGCCAGCCTCCAGCCCTGCCAACTTCCTTGCCTCATGGGGCCTGGGAGCTGGTGGCTCCCTGTTCCTGTGCGGCTGAGGCCTGCTGGAGGCCCCAGGTGCTATGAGGGAGGAGATGGTATGGGTGTCACTTCTGTGTCTGTCCTTGCCCCCAATTCTGTTTCACCCCACTAATTTTCCATATCCTGATGCCACCCCAACATGTTCAAGACCCCAGCCTTTTGGGTGGGTACCAGCTCAAAGGAAGTGTTTTGTGCTCCCTGGGAGCCCTTTTGTTGTCCTTGTTCCTTGTTTGTGTTAACTCTTTGTCTTCCTGTGTCCAGAAAGCCCCCTTTGTGAGGACAGCCCCAGTTCTTGAGGATGAGCCCAGCCATTCTGTGCCCTGGGAGGCAGCACTCTGCTTGCCCTCTACAGGAATCACAGTGCTGTCTGCTCTCTCCTGGCCTCCACACAGACACCTCCATTGAAAACATAAGCTCTTTTTTTTTTTCCTCTTGTAGTCTTACCTGCACACTTGATTTCTGTTTGACTTATACTGTCTCAGGACACATTCACAGCTGAGTAGGCTCCCCTATGCAGCTGGGGTTAGAGATTCTAACATCAATTACCCACTAGGCCTTGACTTTTGTTACCCCAGAAAGGAATATTCTCCTTTGGGGCCTCCAGGGCAATAACCCAAGGCTTGATTCAGGAGCAAGCCCCATCCCTACCACTGTGAATCTGACCCTCACTGCTCAGAATTTGCTGCTGTCCTGTTGCAGATGGATGGTTAGGTGGATGGTCATGGATGCATGGTGCCTTACACGCATGTATGCACACACACTGGGTAAAAGCATTTTGGTGAGCATAATCCTACAGCAGGAGTGTGTATGTGTGTGTGTGTGTGTGTCTTTGTGGACAAAGTCTTTATACTTAATGTTTGGAAAATATTAAAGAGATGCATGGAAGCAACTGTACCAAGACCCAAGCAACCTCTGGATTTGGAATCTATGTGTGGGAGGGGCTGTGCTGGAAGGTCCCAGTGAGTCATCTGTTAGAGCCTTGGTTCAATAAATCACTGAGCAAGTTGAAAAACCAGTTTGTTATGTGGGGCCTTTGACAAAACCATAGCAGACCTGATGGTAGGGTTGGGGAGGGGACAGATCAGCAGGGACCGGAAGGCTTCCCGAAGAAGGGACCACATGCTTCATGCTCTCTTCTAAAGTCTCTCTTGCTCTTTTTAGTTTTTTTTGAGGTAGGGAAAGGGGAACCTCTCACTAAGTAGCCTAAGCGGGCCTCAAACTTGTGGCAGTTCTGCCTCGGCCTCTGTCATGCTGGGGTTATAAGCATGTACCATCATGCCCAGTTGGTAAATCTCCAGCATGACCCTCTGTTAGAGCTTTGGATTCATCTCCCTCCCACCAAGCACTCCTGAGCTCACCCTTCCTTAACCTTGCATTAAATGGTACAAGTGACCCCATCACTCTAGAATTGTCAGTGGCTTCCATTGTCCTCAGGCTAAGCTGAAAGGATTCTTGGCATAGTCCTAAGGGTTTAGTTCATCCCCCAGGTCAGCAGGAAAGGGCCAATCTGGAGGAACCAATCTCTCTCCCCCTTATTCTTTAAGATAGGTTCTCTCACTGGAGCTTGCTGATTTGGCTAGACTGGCTGACCAGTCCTAGGATCTTCAAGACTCCTGTCTCTACTTCCCCAGCTCTGGTATTTCCAGTATCTATAGTCAGGAAAAAGCGGTGAATGCTAGCACTCAGCTTGCTTCCAGGACTCAAGCCCAAGAAATGGTGCCACCCACATGGACTAGGGAAGTCTTTCCACCTCAGCCTAATCAAGATAATCCTCCATAGGCCTATATGAGGCAGTCTTCCAGGTGATTCTAAATCTCATCAAGTTGACAACTGAAATTAACCTCCAGAGGTGGATTCTTAAAGCTCATTGGCCAGCCACCCTAGCCAAATGGATGAGCTCCAGGTTCAGCAAGAGAACTTTCTCAAAAAATCAGGTGGAGAACAAAAGAGGACACTGGATATCCACCTCTGGTCTGTACACCTGCATTCCCATGTACATACACAAGAACTATACACACAAGATAGAACACACAAACAGCAAAAGTTTTGGTGAACTACTTTTTCTCTGAACTGAAATGTGATTCCTATATATAGCAGAGTTCAGATAGCTGTCAGTGCCAAGCCCACAGACTATCATGTGGTAGTGGCAGTTGCTTGAGCAGTACAGGCCCAGCCTGTTTCTGACTCTCCTACACTGCAAGAGGTAATATTAGTCTGTTTTACTGTTGTTTTTTTTTTTTTTGAGGAAGCTTCATTTTTAATTTTTATAAAACATTTTTAATTGAATTTTTGTGTATTTCATATAGAACATCTCAATCTTAATTATCTTTATACCCCCATCCCCACCGGCACCCTCCCATAGCTCACCCACTGGAGCCCATATACTCTGTCATCCCTGTTAAGGCTGTCTGTGTCAAATCAGTGTCCCTTAGGTGTTCCCCAGTACAAGTCCATCCATTGAGGGCTAGTCAGCCTATCTAGAGTCCCTTGTTTTAGGAAAATCAGCTCTTCATCTAGCAGCAATCAGACCAAATTTCATCAGATAAGATCAGGGTCTGCTGTTCGTTTTCCCAGATCTATGCTGGGTTTTTGTCTGCCTGAGTTTGCATGGGACTTGTATATGCTGACACCATTGCCATAGAATCATATGAGCAGGTTTCCAGGAGCTTGTAGAACTCTTCCATATGGTCCTGCACTTCCTCCATGGCTCTTACAATCTTTCTACCCCCTCTTCTGAAATGGTCCCTGAGCCTTGGGTGGGTGGAGTTTAATAAAGGGGTCCTGTCCAAGGACCAGCATTCAGCAGACTCTTGATCTCTACACTTTGGCCATTTGTGACCTTTTGTGTTCCTGGCCCTCTGCTGCATGAGGAGCTTCATTATTGAGAACTATTGTTAATGTCCTCTTTCTTTTTGGTCTTTTTCAGACAGGGTCTCCTGTAGCCCCAGCTGTCTTGAAACTTGCTATGTAGACCAGGCTGGCCTTGAACTCACAGAGATCTACCTGCCTCTGCCTCCCAAGTGCTGGGATTAGAGGCGTGCGCTCTAGTGTCCTCTTCTTCACCCCTGTTCTATGTTCCATGAGCCTTAGGTTTAGAGGTTTCATTGTAGATGTGCCACTTAGGCCTGGGCAATTCATAGATAATGTTCATGTGTGACCAGTTGTGGTACTTGGTAATAGTCTTCAACTGGTGCAAAATGAACTTCTTTCATGAGTGTTAACTTGGGTATTTGTAAATATAAGGATACATATTTTGCACATAGTAAGAAATCACATTAGCCTGAGGATGTAACAGTCTTGGGGTTTTCTCTAAGATCTATGACCTCTCCAGTCATGGTTATGTTTTACAGTACCATACCTGAGTTTCCTCCCATTGAGTGGGCTTTTAGTCCAATTACTTAGTTGTTGATTACCCCCAAAAGTACCACGACTGCACCAATGACATATGCTGTGCCACCTATTGATGTGGTTATTTGGCCTTGAAGCTGGTGTTGGACCATTGATTGATGTTTCCCCTTGGCACCTTCATCGCGCTCTCCAAAGCTGAGACCTGCCTTCAGGGGAAGTGGTTTCAGGTCAGTTGCAGCTCTATTGTTCCAAAGTATGTTCTGTCTTCAGCGGCAATAGGGTCTTACTTCATGTTCTGGGAGGACATCAAGGGCTGTGGCAATAGCCTGAGTAATTTGGGGTGTCTCTTGGACCACCCTGGCCAGTAACTCAAAGGAAGGTGTCTCATGTTTGACACTGTTTCTTGGTATGCATCTAAGTCTTACTTTTTTTTTCCAAATGAGATTCTTAAAAATTTAATGACCTGTTAGGAGTTAATTGGCTGTAATTTTTAGGTTGCACCCGTCTACCAACAACAGCCCACATACATCTAGAAAATATTGCTAAGAAGGCTTCATCCCTGGAATTGAACATCTGGACATTCCACTTTTCACAGGCAATAAAGCTGTTAGTGGGTTGTGTGGGGCACACCTATATTTCCAGTACCTGGCAACCAGAAGCAGGAAGCTTGCCACAAGTTTGAGGCTAGCCTAGTGGTCTACAATAGTTTCAGGCAAGCCAGGGCTACATAGTAAGAACACCAGGGCTGCAGAGATGGCTCAGCGGTTAAGAACACTGGTTGTTCTTGCAGAAGACCCGGGTTCAAATCCCAGCACCCACATGTCAGCTAACAACTGCCTGTAACTCCAGTCCCAGGGGATCTGACAGCCTCTTCTGACCTCTGCGGGCATTGCACGACACAGGTGCACTTACCTACATGCAGGCAATACACACATACACATAAAAATAAAAAAAAAAAGAAAACCAACCTAACAAAATCAAACATAAATCACCATGAACAACAAAATCTGTTGGTACTGAAAGACATTTGAACAGGGAGATTAGGGCAGCTGAGTAATGATGGAGAAGTGCTGCTTTGTCCTTAAGAGAACTTGAGATGGTGTGAGATTATTCATAACCAGTGATTCAAAAGACTGGTGGCTCTAGGGCCTGATAAGGGTGAGAAGCATTCCTACCCTCCCCACACAGAAGTACCTGGGTACCAGCAAGCCAGGGGAGGTAGCTTGGCCACACCCAGCACACACTGGCAAGCACACCCAGGGGCCAGGTATGGGGTGAGGGCAGCTGCCAGGCAGGGAGTCAGCAGGCCTCAGGGCAGCAGGAGAGCTGCCTCATGGAGCTTCCTGGCTTCCCGCCCTACAGGAAGCTAGGCTGTTTGAAAGAACAAATCAGATATGTCCCCGTCCTTCTGGGGCCCAGCCAAGACCACTTCCCTGAAGGGAGAGCTTGGAGAGAGGTTTCTGGGGTGTGACTAGGAGTACTGGCAAAGAACAGCATCCAATCCTAGGATGAGACAGCAGCTTCCCCGGATTGGGAAAGCAGGGGTGGGGGTTGTTGGCAGCTAATGACTTCCAAAGATTTAAGAGAAGGAAGAATAAGCCAGCCCATGGGGTGGTTAGTAGAGAAACCCAGGGAGTGGGAGGGAACAAGCTGAATCTACGAATGACCCATATAACATCAGGGCAGTTACCTCATTGGGCCCCTATTTCCTCCTCTGTAAAATGGGGATAAGAAAGCCCCTACTTCAAAGGGTATAGACTGGCTCCAGTGAACAGGAGTAAGTACCTTCCCAGAGTCTGCTCCCAGAGTCTGTTTCTTAGGGCGGGCCAGCTTAGAGAAGAAAATTAGATCAGGGGGTAAAAAGGATGAGCCTAAAAACATCTTCTCTTTGTTCATAGGGAGGGAAAAGCCGAGTCATCACAGTGTGTGGGTGGTGACTACCCTGCTCAAGCTTGGGTAAGCACTTAGGAACAGGGTTCGGGGAGGAGGATGGGAAAGCAGTCTTAGTGTCCCAGAGGAGGCTACCAGCACAGAGATGCTTCAGGGAGGTGGGACATAGGGAAGCACAAGGGTGCCTTGAGTTTTGTCTCTTTTTATTAGGGCAACTGTAATCTGCCTAATTTCAGCCCACCCTGACTAAAAACAAAAAACAAAAAATAAAAAAAACCCACCACAACAGAAAGCAATCTCATCCACCTCTTAGTTTTTGTTGTCTTTGAAGTGACTAGCAGCCCTTAACAGGGAGCCAGTCAACAAAAATCCCCTGCCTGAGGCTGGCAGATTCCACTGAATTGCCCTCCCAATATCCAGATACAGGTTCCACTAGTATAGCCTGATGTCTCTAAGGTTCTGTAAAGATTACCAATGAAGGTTTCTAGCTGTCAAAAGCTAATGGGTCTGTCTTGGGGGAGGGAGCTCCCTGTCTCCCATAGGTGTGTAAACTGAACTACGGGTTGGTAGTGATGTCTGGGAGAAGCAGCAAAGCTTACCAAGCCTGGCTGCCCATCAGCAGTTTCAGACCCAGCTTGAGCAAGTGGAGAATAGAACCCATTTTTCCATCTAAGTCAGTAGCAGCCACTTCAAGGACATCCCAGCAGTGGCCACCAAGGGGGTCTAAACAAAAACCCTAGGCTTCCTGCCACTGGAGAGCAGGGGAGGGTGGCAGTGTGAAGCAGCCAATGTCAGGGGTAGGGAAGGGCTACAGGCAATCCCCAACTTGCAGGACCACTGAAGACAGCAAGGCTGGGGATGTGTGTCCCATAGCAAGGCTATAGATAGGTCCTCCACCCATAATCAGAGGGGGAAGAGAAAGCATGAGGTGTGTTCCCCCACCCCATCTAGGCTGCTAGGCTAGCTCACAAGTCTGCCATCTGTTTCCCTCAAGCTCCTTTAGTTTTGTGGTAGTACTGTATTAAATGTTGTTCCTTCTCGCCTTCTCTGTCTCTGTGACACACACATGAAATTCCACATCTGCATCTACTGTGTACCCAGCCCTACCTCAAGTGCTGAGCAAATATAAAGACTCATACAAGCAAAATGCAGCACACTGCCCCAGCTCACACAGATGTTCCTGCTTTGTCCTCAGGGATGGCCAGCTTATCCCACCTCTCTCCACCCCTATTCTCGGAGCTGCCATCCATAGTAGCTGTTTTTCTGGTTCTAATCAAAGCCTTCCCTGTCTGCCTCTGAATTGATAACAGGTTTGTTTGTTTGTTTGTTTGTTTGTTTTGTTTGGTCTTTTTGAGACAAGGTCTCCCTGTAGATAACAGTTTTTCTTTTACCGAGTTCCCTCTAGGTGCCAGGTTACACCCTGTCCACTTTCCATGGTGCATCAGCTAGAGGTGCCTTGGGCAGCATGTACAGAGGCCCATACGGTGGTTACATCACATAATTGTATGTGCTCATGATGGTACAAGACTCTGCAGCACCTCCAATCCAGGCTGCTTCCTACCCCTGACATAGGTCTTTTGACCGCAGGGGCCAAAAGATGGCTGAGGGCTGCAAAAGGTCAGAGAATGATACCATATGTCCCACTATCTGAAAAAATGACAGCTTTTATGAGCCTCACCCAGGTGGCTCCTTCCATGCCCCAATGCTGGGGAGCATTTTCACTAGACTCTGGTTCTTGAGATAGAGGAAGGCTCTGAGAACCTGAATCTAGGAAGACTGGCCTCTTCCCACCATATACATTTGCTCCAACTTAGTTCTCATATCTAGAATGCCTTTCTGCCAGAAGCAGCTAATGAATTCCTTCCTCTATGGGCCAGTTCTGCTGCTACCTCCTCCAAGCAGTACTCCTAGATTGTTCCTCCAGGGTCAGTTGTTGAATCCTGTTGGCACTCATTTTTTAAGACAGGGTCTCTTTGTAGCATCAGCTGGCCTGGAACTCACCATGTTGACCAGGCTGACCTTGATCTCACAGAGATCTGCATGCCTCTGCCTCCCAAGCGCTGGGGTTAAAGGCATGCACTACCACACCAACTGGCCAATCTTTCTTGACTCCCATCTGTTGTGGCTATTACATTTGTCTGCATAGCACCTGCTGGAAGAAATCTCTTATACCCAAAGGACTATGCCCAGACCATGAATGGATAGTATGCTTTAGTCCTCCTCCTCTTCCTCCTCCTTTCTTTTTCTTTTGCGACATGTTTCATGAAGCTCAGATTGGCCTCAGACTCATTAAGTAGCTGAGGCTGGCCTTGAACTCCTGACCTTCCTGCCTTCATCTCTCAAGTGCTTTGATTACAGGCATGCACACCTGCTGTAGAACATATACCAGCCATCATCTTCATCAGAACATCATAGCTACCTTAGAGAGATCCCCACCCTCCGCAAGATCAGGCTTGTTGACTATTGGTGTGCTCCCTCATAGAAGGAGAGGGTGGGGAGGGTCAATGGTCCTTCACCTGACAGTCCCGCTGCTTGCTACTGCATTTCCCAACTATTGGTATGTAATTCTACCCTAATTGCCTGTGGCTTCTTGGTGCTAGAGCAGGAGGACTCTGAAAGGTTAACTGAAGGGGACTCCCATCAGTGCAGCTATGGGGAAGTCGTCATCCATGCTGGCGTGAGACTTTCTGGTGGTGTACCTGTTCTGGATTCATCCATGCTCCTGGAAGTAAGCCCAATAAATTCACTGATTCCTAAAGTTGGACTTTGGTGGAATTGTACTTTTTTTTGTTGGTGCTCTAAGAGGCAGTAGATGCTTGTGTTTCCCCCAGGAAGGAGTTCCTACTGCAGCACAAACCAGGCTCTGTATTCTCTTTTCAGATCATGTCCACCCTTTGCCACCTTGTTCAAGTTCTCCCCTCTTCCTCTCTGCCCTCCATCTGGCTGATATATGAAGCAGATCTCAAGTCTCAAATGCTTCCCGTTCAGCACTATGCTGTGTGACATTAGCCACATCAGGGAGCTCTCTGAGTCTACTTAAGTCGTCAGCCAAAGGAGAGGGCTATACCCAATGTTTCTTTTCCTGTTATAAATCTCAACCATCCCTAACTCAATCCTTGTATGCTAGTGCAGAGGAAGGAGTCTATTACACTCTTACCTCATTTTAAAATAAGAATTCAAAGTAAACAATTATTTTAGTGGATTGGCTGGGTGGCAAAGCAGTGTGGCTAGGATGAAGTAGTCACAACTGGGCTGAATTGGCATGGATGAATGTTCTCAGGGCCAACAGACTCTCTGAAGTATAGGTTAGAACCAGAAGAGGCCAGTGGCCACAGGACAGATCTCCCAGGGCATACCCACAGCAGCCCTCAGGAAGACCATCAGTAAGACCTCCATTCTGCTGTCTCTATCAGGAGAGGGACGCCCTCTGTGGTTCCATTTCTATCTGGGTCCTTCACTGGCCATCCTGTCACTATAGCCTCTACCACACACTTCACATAAGGTCGGTTATCTAGTGGTTCTGAACTTGGAGTAGACAGAGGAGTGAACAAAGGCCTGGATGCCATGGTCCCAATGTCAGGTAGCCCCTTGCAGTCACAGCCTCTGCCAATTCTCTGCTGTAATCAGTTGGCAGACATGAGGCCTGGCTGAGAGCGATAGGGCCTGGGAACCAGGAACTGATCCCAAGAACAGAGCCAACATCACTCTCCAGCTCTATGGTTGAGGTCCCACACTGCCTCTGGGCCCATCCTTCCATCAATGTACTTATTATGTGTTGCATCTGAGTTCTAAATGCCTACAGCATGGCTATCCCCTACCCCCAAGGGACTCAGAATGCAGTCCTTCACGGGGGTCTTCAGGACCCCAGCCTGGGCGACTCTTTCATTTTTGAAATACATTTTATTTATTATTATTATTATTATTATTGACAGGGTCTCCCTTTAGCCCCAGTTGGCCTGGAACTTGTTATGTAGATCAAGCTGACCTTGATCTCACAGAGAGAGATCTGCCTGCCTCTTCTTCCCTAGTGCTGGCATTAAAGGCATGTGCCACGACACACACTCGGCTTCTAACTTTCCTCTCTATATATATCTATATCTATCATATATATCTACCTATATCTATATACCTATATCTCTCTATATACCTTCTGAAACAGGGTCTCCCTGCAGCCCTAGCTGACCTGGAACTCATTATGTAGACCAGACTGGCCTTGATCTCACAGAGATCCACCCTCTGCAGATGCCACCACAACCAGCCATTTTTCATTTCTTGTCACCATACAGTGTTCAGGTTACTGCTGTTCTGCCTTGTACCTGGCTTTGGGGAGTGAGGAAGGTTTATGACACAGGCTTTCTGGTCAGAGTCGTTTAGAAAGTCAAAAAAAGAAGCCAGGCGTGGTGGCACACGCCTTTAATCCCAGCACTGGGAGGCAGAGGCAGGTGGATCTCTGTGAGTTCAAGGCCAGCCTGGTCTCCATAGTGAGTTCCAGGACAGCTGGGGCTACAAGGAGACCCTGTCTCAAAAAGATTAAAAAAAAAAGTCAAAAAAAGGGAAAGGGATGGGTAGGGTGGTGGGTGGAAAAATGACAAGGACAGGAACAAGTGGACACAAGGGATTTTGAATGCTTCCAGACTGGGCCTGCTGCCGGTGCCTGGCACCAACTGGTTCAAACTAAAGTTGGTTGTTTTTTGTTGTTGTTTGCTTGTTTGTTCTTTGTCTTTTTGAGACAAGGTCTTCCTGTAGTCCTAGCTGGCCTTGAACTCAGATCTGTCTGCCTCTCCTCCCGAGTGCTGGGATTAAAGGTGTGGGCCACCACACCCGGACAAACTCAACTTTTAATTTTCTTAAGTTATAAGCACCTTTGAAGGCCTCTCTGCAAGGAGTCAAGCAGGGGCTACAAAGGGAAAGATTACAACATTTGCCCCAGATGTCACTCTAAGGGGTTTCATTGGGGCTCAACAAAGTTGAGCTCTCCTGGAAGAACACACAGCTATGACTGGGTTGTGTCCAAACTTGGAATTCTATGTCAAATTCAGGCCCAGCCTTAGCCCACTGAGAGAACCAGTGATTCAGAATCTGCACGAAACTGCCTACACATGCATATCTCCTTCCAAAGTCGTTTCCAGGGGGTAAAGTTCATGAATGCGCATTTCACCAGGCTGGCCAGTACTGTCCCGTTTTGTGGTTACTACAAAGTCAGGCCTGGGGTGGCAGAGGATCTGAACCCTGCCCCCCTAGCGACTCTCGGCCACTGGTCGGAAAGTTCCGCGCAGGTCCCCATCGGGCCTCTGCGCCCCCTGGCGGCCCTCCGGGTGCTGGCCAGGCGCGGCTCTCCGAGACTTCCGGCAGGGCCAGGCGTGCTGCCCTAAGCTGCCCGCCCGGCTCTGAGCAGCGGCTCTCCGGCTTCCAAAGGGAAGTTCGTCAGCGTCTACACTGAGAAGAGACTGCGCGGAGTTAACACCCCAGGAAGTCAGGACGAGAGGCCCGGCCAGCTGCGGCCCAAGGCGCGGCCCTGCCATCGCTCTCCCGCCGCCGAGTGGGACAGCTGGTCGGAAGCCTGAGCCGGCAAGGAGAAGCGAGTGTGAGGCGAGGACAGCACACGCAGGACCGGGAACCCGCGCGCCCCCGGCTGATAGGCTTAAAGAACTACAGCCCCCAGAGTCCAGTGCGCCGCAGGGGTGCGCGAGGCAGTGACGTAAGTAGAACCGCAGCTATTTTTCTAGTTGGAGTGGACGTGGCGGTTAAGGATGATGACGTGTTTTGATTGCAGCTGGAGGGTGACCAGAGGTCAATGCCTGTAAACCAAGGTTCTGTTCTCAAAACGCCTTTGAGAACTTTCTTGTTAGACAACTTTGAATTCACGGTCTGTTTAGCCTTGACCGTGGCTAGCTACTGTGTACCAGCCGTACATCATCTCGGGGCCGCCAATGAGCCAACCAGATACTGTTAATATTTACCCATTTTCTTGGAGAGACTCTCATGTTGTCCAGGCCGGCCTCGAACTGCTAGATGTCGGTTGCTGACTCTGAGTTCCTGATCCTCTTGCCTCCACTTCGCACGTGCTGGGATTACAGATGTGTGCCACCATGTCTGACTTGTTTTGATTTTTAAAATTTCAGTTAACTAGATAGATCCCTTTGGATAGAATTCGCCAATTATTAACATCTTTTACCCTATTTCATCATTTTCTTTTCCATTTCTGTACCTTTTCTCCCAAACCATCTGAGTCAGTTGCCGATATGGTACTCTTTTATCTCTATACTTAGAGGTATTTCCTTGTGTGTTTTCTAAAACAAGGACATGTTCCTACATTCAAAATTAAATGACATTGATCAAGACATCTGACCCATACTCCATACTTAAACATTTCCATTTGTCCTAATGATGCTGTGTATGGAAACTGTCTTTTTCTTTCTTCAGGAGTAGGCATTGCATTCATTCAGCTGTGGTCTCTGGTTTCCATCAGTTTGTCCTGAACTCTTATGACAATGAGCTTTTGGAGATTGATGGACAGTCTTGCAGAACTAGGTGTAATTCTTCAGCTATTGGCCCTATTCTGTGGTACAGACCAGACTTGGTATTATTCAGAAGCTCAGATGTGTCTAGGTGGATAGGGGATCAGTGTCCAGCCATAACACTCTTTAGAGAACTCCCAGACCCTGCTAAACTACACCTTTCCTGTGGGTGCTTCTCTGATAGGGGTTCACTTTCACCTTGTAGGTCTCTGACTTCCCTGTAGCACGTACTCTGGAACCATGGTCCACGCCTTCCTCATCCACACCTTGAGGGCCCCGAATTTGGAAGATGCAAGCCTTTGCCGAGTGCTTTACTCCTGTGTCTTTGGCACTGAGAAGTCAGCTGATGATCCACGGCCACATGGTGCAGAGAGGGACAGGCTCCTTCAAAAAGAACAGATTTTGACTGTGGCCAGGTAATTACAGTCCAACCCCAAGCTTTATCAAACACAGGGTCGATTATGGTGGGCACTGGGGTGGGACAGAGAATCAAGTTGATTAAGAATTAGGGAGAACGTTCTCCACAGTCTCACCATTGTGTAGAAGTGTTAATATGAAAAAGAGTTGAAGATATAATGCTCTTACTATTATGATAGCTAGTATTATTGGGGCTGTAAGTATGTTCTGGGCATTTATTTCATCCTCACAGTCTCCTGAGGTAGCTATAGTTACCTCCACCATACAGATGAGTAAAATGAGGTGACAGAGTGTTTTAAAGACCTTAACCTGAGCCAGGTGTGGTGGCACATGCTTTTAATCCCAGCACTATTCAGGAGGCAGAGGCAGGTGGATCTCTGTGAATTGAAGGCCAGCCTGGTCTACATAGTGAGTTACAGGTCAGCTGGGGCTACAGAAAGACAAGGTTATACAGCTAAAAAGTGAAAACACTGAGATTTGAGTGTGGACAGGCAGACCCAGTGCAGATTAAACATGCTTTACAAAGCAGAACTTCTCAAGATAGAGAATGTGGTATATCCAAACTCTATTCAGGGCCTCTGAGTGCCTGAGACTCAGAGAAGTTTGGAAAACACTGTTTAAGGTGGGTGACTAGGCTGAACCTTTCTATCCCAGGCTCACGTGGAGTGGGCAACTCTTTGCCAGCTCCTGCTGCCCCCTTACTCTCACCTTTGTTTCCCTCCTGTAGCACAGAAAACCAAGCAAATACCTTTTATTTATTTTTTATTTATTTTTTTTAATTTTTTGAGACAGAGCCTTATTATCTAGCCCAGGCTGGTCTCCAACTCTCTGTATATCCCAGGCTGGCCTTAAACTGTGATCCTCTTGCTTCAGTCTTCCAATACTAGCATTACAGCCTTTAAAGTTCATCTCTGTGTGCCAAATTGGAAGGTGATTTAAGAAGGAGCAGAGACCTTGACAGTCACATGGAAGGTCTGTATTACTTGAAGAGGATTGCAGGCAAGGACAGGGTGGAGACATAAGATGACCCTGGCCAGGTGACTGTCCTCATCACTTATTTGCCTCTTTGTTGAGGCCTGTGTGAAGCAGATAAAGTAATGTTTTCTTCCATGGTCCTTTTCCAGTTCTAAGAGCTATATTCAGACCTTTACTTGGCTATTTAAGTGGTTCAGAGACTTCAGGCTGGAGCCTGGATTTCCATGTCATCACACTTTCTCTGGGAAGATCACTTAATGTGATCTTCCTCACTGGAGATATAGAATTTTAGCAGCTTCCAGTTACAAGGGTGGTTGTGAGGATGGCAGAAGTGAGGGAAGGGTATGCCTGGATGGCCTTGCCAGGCCTCTTAGCTGCCAGCTTGATCTGACCTCTCTTCTAGGCAGGTGGAATCACTGTGCCAGCTGCAGCAGCAAGCATGTGGACGGCCCCCTACAGACCTGCAGCCCCAGTCCTCAGATGAGCCTGTGCCCTTGCATGAGGCACCTCATGGGGCCTTCTACCTGGCAGCTGGGGACCCTTTCCAAGAGCCAAAGATAGTGGTGTGGCTTGGTGTGCTTCCACTGGGGTTTGCCCTGGTGCTGGATATCCACGAGAACCTGCTGCTGGCCGAGAGTACACTCCGGCTGCTGGCCCGCCTCCTTCTTGATCACCTCCGGCTGTTGGCACCCAGTACCAACCTCTTGTTGCGGGCTGACCGCATCGAGGGCATCCTTGCCCGATTCCTGCCCCATGGGCAGCTGCTCTTCCTTAATGATCAGTTCGTCCAGGATCTGGAGAAGGAATTCAGTGCTGCCTGGCCTCGCTGACCCCTTGCTGGATTGGGGTTTCCTGAGAAGGCAAGGAGAGAGAACAGAAGCTGCACACTGCCAGTTAAGCTTGGCATCTGCCTTCCGCCCAACCTGCTCCCCATGCTGATATGCTGCGACATTCAGGACAAACGTGGGGCAAGCTGGCAGGAGGAGGCCTGGGCAGAAGGCAGAGGGCCTGAGCTTGTTCTCAGATCAGTGGAAATGCAGACCATCCTGAACCTGGAGCCGCCCTGTGACCTCTTGAACTGCTGCACTGTGTCTGCTATGCCGGTCCTTGACCCCACCTCCTTCAAACCCTACCAGCTGCCTATACTGGAACAGAGAGGAGACTCTGCCAAGACTTTAGCCCACCCTCACTGTCCAGTTCCAAAGCCCCAGTTATCACACCACAAAAGGAACCTCTAAAACATAGAAATGGAATTAGAACAAAAGCAAAAGACCATCTCCTCTCTGTAAATGGTGTATCACCTTTAGTGGGGGCACTGGACTCATGCCCTGGCAGGCCAGCTCCACTACAGTTCAGAGTAGGGACATTCTGTAGCTTCTCACATGACAAGATCATGCTGACCAAGCAGGCTGAGCTCAGATAAACACAGCTTCCCTGTCTACTGACAGGCAAATGCCATGGGTCTGGCCCAGCTGACATTGTCTTTCTCATTTTGAATTTAAAACGCTGGCCATGTGACTTTGTCCTGTCTTTTTGTGAGTGTGATGGATGCAGTCTCCTGTGAGTGAGCATCTCCCTGGATGGCCCCCAAGCTGGGGGTCCTGAGAGGCTTCCTGGCAAGGCCTCCATTTCTCCATTCCCTCCATTTTGTTTCTCTGTGTTTGTTTTGGGTGATAGTACTTGCTTCCTTTATTAAAATATGTGTCACAGGTGGTACGTGTTGCTCCCCTAGAAGAGGAGCCTGAGGCACATGTGGAGGTCAGAGGACAACTTTCAGGAGTTAGTTCTACCAGGTGATCTGGGCTTGAACTCAGGTCCTCAAGCTTGTACAGCAAGCAGTTTTACCCACTGAGCCATCTTGCCAGTTCATGATGTGTTTTCTTTTTCAAAAGTAGACTGAAGTCCTTTTTTATTTCAGAAATACTTTGCTGAGTTAGCTTTTTGGTGGGGGAGTCTTTTGTTCTTGTTTCGTTTTGTTTGTTTTTGAGACAGGGTCTCCCTGTAACTCCAGCTGGCCCGGAATTCACTATGTAGACCAGGCTATCCTTGAACTCACAGAGATCCACCTGTCTCTGCCTCCTGAGTGCTGGGATTAAAGGCGTGTGCCACCACAGCAGGCTGAGTTAGCTCTTTAAGTAGCTATTATATTTTGTTGGGCCATTCAGGCAGTCCAGTTATGCAATAGGTGGGTCTCCTTTGCCAATCATTTGTTGCTCTTGCCTGACTCCCAAGTGTGGCAGATCTTGGAAAGCACCAGAAAATAAAAAATACTCTAAGATATATTTTGTATTTGCAGTGAGGAAGGAACTACAGAATAGTTCTGCAGATAAAGCACATTGTAGCTTAACCAAGGCTGATGCCTGCAGGCTGTGAACCTATGAGGCTCACCTGTGTCTCATATCTCTGCCTTCTGGGAAATTCCAAATCCTCCATCCTGTGGAGTTGGATCCTTCTGTATTCAAATGCTGGTTCTTGAGCCCCATCCTGTCTGCAGCGGATACCTGTACTACCTAGCACCTCAAGGGGTTCCCAGGCTACATCTGTGTCTCCTGGACGTCATCTGCTCTAGTGTTCTGCTTCTTCGGCATTCTCAGTCTCACTTGGGTCTCAGAACATGTTACTCTTCTTTCTGCTTTTCTTTCTAAGCATATAACACATGCTTCTTCCTTTGATGCTCTCAAAGAAACAAGCATTTGGCTGTAGCAGACTGTTATAAACGTTTGGGGGGATTGAACAACAGAGCAAAAACCTTAAAATTGATCATCCTCTGTATTAATGAAATACCTGAAGCTGAATATGTTTATAAAGAAAAGAGGTTTATTTAATTCACAGTTTTGGAAATTTAAGCATGGTACAGTTATCAACTTGCCTGTGAAGTCCTCATGGTGGGAGGCAGTTCAATGGTAGGAGCATGGAGTAGGGACAGGCAGGAAGAGGGAGAAGGAGAGAGAGAAGGGAGAGGACAGAAGCTCATATGGCCAGATAGGAAGCTGAAGAGTAGGGCAGGACCAGTCATGAACTCATAGTAAGGCCCTATTCATGTGCTATAGTTTAAGAACACATTTATGCTTCTGCAAGGACTCTGCACATATACCATACTAATGCTCGTTCTAAGTTAATGTTCAGTCTTCTATCTCATGTCATCCAAATGACTCAGGAGGAAGGCAGCAGGACTCTATGGCCTTGACTCCCCCACACCCTGAACTTCAAGGCCCACCAATTGGCCAGTGAGATAAGACTAAACTTGGGAGTGATGGATTGCTTTTGTTTCTCCTCCCTGTGTAACCTGCTGGCCAAAGATGAGAGGAAGACAGACTTTTAGATCTAATCCACTGTCTTCTCAGATTTCAGCACTCTGAATAAAGCACAGCTTAGAGAGTCACTTCCTGGCATCTATAAGTTATAGCGTTGAATTCAGGTATTCTGTGACCTTAACCACCTCTGAAAAGTCTACTGCTCCATATCAGCACACTGATGACTAGTTCCCTGAGAAATAAACTCAAGCTATATCCAAACCCTGGGATACCTGACCATCCCCTCAAGGGGATTTTTATCACTTCTGGTCTCCTGGGGCCCCTGCTTCCCACCAGCTTTCAGGCTGCTACCTTCTTTTTAATCTTTTAAAGTCAGGAACTGGGGAGATGGCTTGCTATGCAAACATGAGGACCTGAGTTCAAGTCTCCAAAACCATGTAAAGCCAGGTGTGGTGACCCACATGTGTTATCCCAGTGTGTCTGTGGTAAAACTGGAGGTGGAACAGGAGAATCCCTGGATGCTCCTGAGCCAACTAGCCTTGTATACAGTGGCAAACAACAAAAAAAGAGTCCCTGTTTCAAACAAGGTAGGAGGCGAGAATCAACACCCAAGGTTGTCCTCTGATTCCCATAAGCATTCTGTGGTACAAGTACACCCATACATTAAAACATACACAAATTGGGGCTGGAGACATAGCTCAGCGGTTAAGAACACTGGTTGTTCTTGCAGAAGACCAGGGTTTGAATCCCAGCACCCACATGGCAGCTAACAACTGTCCATAGCTCCAGTTCCAGGGGATCCAACAGCCTCTTCTGACCTCTGCCAGCATTGCATGACACGGGTGCACTTACCTACATGCAGACAATACACACATACACACAAAATAAAAATAATAAATAAAAATTTAAAGAAATACAAATAATTTTTTATTAAAAATTTGTTTTTTGTTATTGTCTCTTTTTCCAGAGCTGAGGACCGAACCCAGGGCCTTGCACTTACTAGGCAGGTATTCTACCACTGAGCTAATTCCCCAACTCCTAAAATTTTTTTTTGGGCATGGTGGTGCATGCCTTTAATCCCAGCACTTGGGAGGCAGAGGCAGGTGGATCTCTGTGAGTTCAAGGCCAGCCTGGTCTACATAGTGAGTTCCAGGCCAGCTGGGGCTACAGGGAGACCCTGTCTCAAAAAAAAGGCCAAAAACAAAAAATTGTTTTTTAAGGACTGGGTGGGAGATCTGGCATAAAGCAGTGCTTAGCTCCAGGCCCTGAAATCAATCCACTATACTTCAAAAATCTTTTTTGTGTGTAAGGTGTGATGGTATACACCTGCGATCTCAGCATGGGAGGCTGAAGCAGGAAGATCACAAATTCTAGACCAGCCTGGCTACATAGCAAGAACCTGTCTCAAAAAAGTACAATTAACTATTAAGATATTAAGTACATGCACACTGTCGTGTCTGTTAGGCAGCCAAATAGATATTAGTGGGTTTGGAGGACACTGATTATGCCCTGGAAACTTCAAGAATCAGGATAAAGTCTATTTTGTAATATAAATCTGGCCTCTTTGGTCTCCCTTGGGATTGCTTCACTTTACTGAATTATATTTTCTATGTCATGATCTGCAATCAAGTCTTCTACACTATCCACTATGCTTCTCTTTCAAATTCATTTAGTAGAGAACCTAAGGACTTGGGAGCTGAACAGGGAGTAGGGTGAGTCTGGTGATAATTTCTATTTCTAGACCATTATCATCTGGAACAAAAATGTCTTTGCTCTTTAATAACCAAGCCCCTCAGTTCATTCCTGTTCTTTCCTGTTCATACAATTAGGGCTTCCTTCCCATCTGTCCTTCTTGATGCCAGTGTCTTTCAGGAGAAAGAAAAGATTGCTTTGGACCTACCTTTAGTAGCCCAAAACACACTCTGAAGTCTGCTTTGACATTCCAGACTCTCATAAAATGTATTAAAGTCAGAGGAAGGATGTCTTTCCCTTCTATTGTCTGTCTGCTAAGGAAACTCAAAGATATAACCTTGCAGAACCTGATTCTGTATCTTCCTCAAGAGGCAAATGTAGCTGTGCCCATTCCCCTTCTTACATAGGCTTATTTACATGTTGTTTAGGTTAACAGTTCTTTCTACAGGGTTATACTTTCTAGGAGGATTTATACTATGTCCTCTTTTGTTTTCTGCATTATACCCAACACCTGGCACATACCAGGCACCTAAAGCATACATAGAACAAAAATCAAAAATGAAATCATGGGGTGATTTCTAGGGATCCCTGGGGCTTGGAACTCTGAAATCCCACTGGGTAGCAACTTTTCTCCCCTAGTAGCAGATTTGTCTTTCTCCAGGGATCTTGTGAGAAACAGCAGACTTTTTATTTTTCTTGAGACAGGGTCTCCCTGCAGCCCCAACTAGCCTGGAACTCAGTATATAGACCAGGCTAGCCTTGAACACAACCCACAGAGATCTGCCTGTCTCTGCCTCCTGAGTGCTGGGATTAAAGGCATTCACCAACATAGCAGGCTGAGAAATAGAAGACTCTTATCTCAAGGATAGTACTCCCAGAAGGGCCAGTTCTTGGAAGACAAGCCCCTAGTTGAAGCAGAGGGGCAACCATCCCTCCATCAGAAATTGGGCTGACTGCTTTCTGCAGGCTTCTAGTGAGTAGGAAGGTCTTCCACTGAGGGCTCCAGATGAGGCTAGAGCTATAATTGGATATTACTACACAGCCATGAGTTCTGTCCTGAGGGAAGGCAGATAAAAAAGTAGGCAGAACTCCTCCCCTCTTGGAAACAGTTACTTAATTCAGCTTAGCAAGGTCAGAGCAATTCTAGCCTGACCTCAATAGCTTAAGGGGCCATGAGTGTTTGGAGTAGCAAAGATTCCACCTTAAGCTGAAAAGTGGAGGCATCTGGGTATTGCTTGGGATCCATGCTTGATGAGAAATAAAAGGACATTAAAATCCTTTGGCAGTTTTGTCTTGTGTGATCCTGGAATGTCCATATGATGAAAACAAAGCCCTGGCCAGCGGAGCAAATTTTAGCCTCAGAGAGATCCAGGCAGGGCCTGACAGCACAAGGGTAAGCACAGACCCAGACCAACAGTTTCTGTGTCCACGAATAGCAAGTTAGTGAATTTGAGAGGAAAAATCCCAACCTTGATAAAGAGTAAAACCATAAAATTTCTAGGGTAAGGCATAATTAGAAAAATCAGAGTTGGAGCCAAGTGTAGTGGCGCCTGCCTTTAATCCCAGCACTTCAGAGGCAGAGGCAAGAGGATCTCTGTGAGACTGAGGCCAGCTTGGTCTACATAGTGAGTTCTAAGCTACAAGGAGACCTGTCTCAAAAAAAAAAAAAAAAAAAAAAAAAAAAAAAGAAAGAAAGAAAAAAACAGAGAAGAAAAAGAAACAGTCCATGAAACAAACATCCAGAGATGTGAAGCTGGGGAATGAAATGGTGACGGGAATAAGCTCAGAGTCCCCTCTCCCTGATTAATTAGTAATTAAAAGTGGACAGTAGTACGTTTACAGGTGGGAATGTGGGGCACCCCTTCACCGGTTGATCAGAGTGAATAGCTCTAGTAGTGGGAGAAACAGGCATGGTTTGCTTCTGTGGAAGGACAGAAGTCAGGAGAGTGGCACCTGAGGCAGACTCCAAGGCACACATTGTCATCTCATCACTTGGGAGGCTGAGACTGAGACAGGAGGATTTCAAGTTTGAGG